CAGAAAGTGTCATTATCCACACGAGTTACCGAAAGGGTAACACTTTACTAGAAGGGGTGTGCATAAGACTGACACGACACCTTCATAATCATGACATGACACATGTGAAGAAGGGTTATGCATGTTTATGACAACTGTCATTAAGTGTTATTCGCTCAATTATGACATTTTCAATGCAAATATGACATTGTTTGAGATGTCTTTGTCATGACAACTTGACATAAACCAATACATCATAACCTGTCATAAATATGTTATAAACATGACATAGCAGATTAATTATCGAACTTAAGAAAGCACTTAGCTTTATGGGTTAACATTACATTACATTAAACTGTCATGTGGTTGGTGTTGACATTGGCTGTCATGAGGCATTATAACATGTTAATGACAAATTCAATGTGTACCACTGTATTTGAGGTCAAGAAAAATATTCATGACACAGTTATAATGCCTCATGACAGCCAATGTCAAAACCAACCGCCTGACAGTTTAATGTAATGTTAACCCATAAAGCTAAGTGCTTTCTTATGTTCGATAACTAATCTGCTATGTCATGTTTATAAAATATTTATGACAGGTTGTGTTGTCTTAGTAATGTCAAGTTGTCATAACAAAGACATCTCAAACAATGTCATATTTGCATTAAAAATGTCATAATTGAGCGAATGACACTTAATGACAGTTGTCATAAACATGCATAAAACCTCCTTGTGTCATGTCATGATTATGAAGGTGTCATGTCAGTCTTGTGCACACCCCTTCTAGTAAAGTGTTACCCTTAAATGATATCCTAAAACTACTCTCAGTAATTTACTTTGTGACTTTTGTAAGTTTGTCATCCACATACCGGAGTGTTTGCGTAGTGACAGTGGAGGCGGATGCTGATTGGCTGATCAGTGGTGTCATCACGCTGTGCATAAGTAGCTCCGCCCCCTCACTGCTGTGTGTGAATCATACATCATCAGATCCAGGGGTTTTAAGGTGGATCAGCCTTTTAATTATTCCTGCGTCAGTCTATTTTAATCTGGTTAAGTGCTGGTCTGGTTGTGTGTGTGCGCTGTTGGACACGCGTGTGGGACTCAGCGCCTCGTTGCTTTTAAAGAACAAACATTTGTGGCTCAAAGTTTCTTTTTTAAACTATCTATGTGTTTTATTTCACTGTAACCTCGTGTCAGTCTGATGTCGATGATCAACTGCTTTAATTAGCATGTAAAGTCCACACGAGAGGCTTAGTTACGGCTATCTAGTCAGTAAATAACTGTATTTAATTTGGTTGCACCATTTGTTCTTATGGCGGTTTGTAAAGGAACATAATGTGCCGTTTACATTCAACGAGCCTTTAAACTCATGAACACAAGTTGTGTGGAAACGCTGTGAATTTGATTTTTTTTCTTTTAAATTCTTTTAAAAAATTACTGTAATTATTATAATTAATTTTTAAAAAAGTACTTTTGAACAGTAGTGTTCATAGCATACACAACATGCATGTGCGAGTCGCTGTATGAAGATGAGGGATGTTTTAAAGAGTCAATAACAAGTCATTTATTAATATAATATTCTCCCTTAAATGTAAACATCATTAAAGGGGCGGTTGATTATAATTTGACTTGTCTAGCTGTAGTTAGTGTGTAATGTTGCAGTTTGAGCATAAACAGCATCTGCAGAGTCTCGACTCAAAGTTCACAGCAAAGGGAGAGATTTGCTTTTACAGAAATGCTTATTAAGGACTACAACTAACATCTGGTAGAACTACACTGAGTTTCTTCACAGGTTAGTGACATCACCAACCCTCAAATTTACATAAACCCCGCCCCAATTTATAGATTACCATGACAGATTATGCTAATCAATGTCTAGAAGAGAGTTAACTCCAGATCAGAAACATAAACTCATCAACTAACCATCAGAAATATCCTGTTGCTCTACATGTTGTCTCTTCTAGAGTCTCTCCATCTTTGTCTGATTCCGGTTTGAAGGCTAAAAGTTTTAAAAATGTTCAGTGTGTGTGTGTGAGAGAGAGGTAAAAGGACAAGAGTTCTTGAGAGTAGCTCATTTGCATTTAAAGGAACACACACACAAACACACACACACACACACACACACAAGCTCTTGAAGCTCCGCCCCCTGTGCTGGGAGCAGCAGCTCATTTGCATTTAAAGGGACACACACACAAAAACGGCGTGTTTTTGCTCGCCCTCAAAAAGTGACAATTTTAACATGCTATAAAAAATATCAGTTTTGAGCTGAAACTTCACACACACACTCTGGGGACATCAGAGACTTATTTGACATCTTGTGAAAGGGCATTATAGGAGCGCTTTAATGTCTAAAGGATTGAAGTCTGTCTGGTAAAACATGATCTAATGGATATAATTCATCAATCTGCTGCTTTATTCCAGCTGGTATTCCTGATCGGCGCTTCCTTAAACATTTTGTTTCATGAAAAGTTTAATGGTGCAACTCTCAAACATTTAGTACATGTCCCTTTCCTTCGGTGTCTCCGCAGATCTCTCAGATTGAGAACGTGTCGGGTCTGTCAAAGCTTCGTTTGCTGAATCTGTCGGGGAACCGCATCGCTCGAGTGGAGAATCTGCGGGGCTTGAAGAGTCTGACCGAACTCAACCTGCGGCACAACAGCATCTCGGACGTGGTGAGTGTGAGAAGCTAATCAGACACATTTAAAATAAATTAATCATTTAACCCTCTGGGGACGGATTGGGTGGTACCGCCCAAAATGGCATACTTTTACAAATGTGTAATTATCTTAAAAACGATTAATGATAGAGAGGTGCGGTCTTCCTCAGATTCCGCTGAAAACAGTGATAACTCACCCGGCTTGTAAATATACACACTTCCTTGTTGCGCAATACCACTATGTAAAAGGCCAATGAAATCGATGTTGTTTGGCAGATTCCGCGAACAACATCCAATGGAAAAATTGCCGATGGAGAAATATTTTTCTTATCCAATCAGAGGAAGGTTACCATGACGTATCTAGCAAATCAGAGGACTCTGTAGCTTTGCAAGGGGTGGTACTATATAGTTAGGGATATGACGCAAAGAGCGTTGAATGGAGAGAAGGAGAGAGAGCGAACGGAGGCTTACGGAGCGGGTTAGCAGAGATTTATATGAGAGAGAGACAGAACAATTATAATATATATATATATATATATACACACATACAATTATAGCATTATTTATTGTTTTAGCACTTTTATGATGGCAAGCAGTAAAGACTTACGGTGGAACAAGCTGTGGAACAATTACTGGAGAGTGACGAGGAGAAAGCATTGCTTAGAAAATTCTAAGCATTCCTAAGAAAAACGCCTAGGACTATTTGTAAATAAAGTTAAATTTTTCATTGTTGTTTACACATTTTATTTAACAATTACACCTGTCTGTCAAGCAAAGGCTTTGACAAATATATTTTTTGTTCAAAAACTGTTCACTATTGTTGTGTGATGTGTGATTTTCAGAAATAAATGACAAAAATCTAATTTCCGTTTTTGAAATTCTCTAGTTTATTGTACATTTTTCACTCATACTTCCTTTATAAACACATTACATGCATGCTTATGTTAGCTTAGGGTCTTCTGAATCCATAGATACCAAACACATAGTGTTCCATCTCCATTACATATGGTTTATAAGCCCAAATGTAAAAATAGAGAAAACGGACCAAAAAGGGCTTAGTCCCCAGAGGGTTAAAATAACAAAACATCAACACTTACTGCACTTAAACAGATTAAATATTTAATCCGTTCACCTACGTGAGCATTAGCCGACATCAGAGAACCGTGAAACACATGAATGTAATGTTAAATTATTGAAATATTAAAATGTATAATCTCAGAATGACTGTAATTTATAAAAACTACACAAATAGCTGAAGATCTCCAACAACTGTCCGATGTTGCAATGTAGTTGCTCAGTATTTTTTTGCACTTTGATATATGGTTGCTAGGTTATTATTGGTGGTTGCTAGGGTGTCTGTGATTGATGACGATCTTCTGTCTGTGATTGGAGGAGTTGTGCATCAGCTGGAGAGTAACACATGTTCACGGATCTCTGATGCCGGTTAATGCTGGTTTAGGCCACGCCCACATGTGTTAGGCCACGCCCACACCGTCTCTATTGACTCCATCCACTTCTGTGTCCTGAAACGCTCGTGTTTCGGGCTCGACGGCTTATTAATCGTATCTCTGGGTGTTTATCTTGTGTGCTGTACACCGTCACACCGCAGCTTTCACACAGGGTTTTGTTCTTTGTTATAAGTCATAAATGACGAGGAGGCGGCTTCACACAACACAGAGTCAATGGAGACGGTGGGATTGGTTTCCCCCGGTGTGGGCGTGGCCTAAACGTGTGTGGGCGTGGCTTCAGATTATGACGCGTGTCGCTCTGTCTCTATGACATGTAGCTAAATAAATGAATAATTTACTAAAAATTTTTTTTCTGCTTTTACATTTTTATGATTCAGTTTATTTCAGTACGGGTTTCATTTTAAAATCGTTTATTTACAGTTTTTCATTTTTAGGACATAATTAATTATTAGCTTTTCAGCAACCACTTAAAAACATCTTAGCAACCATTCTCCACACCCTAGCAACCACAAATTGATTTTGTTTAAAAAGCCTCCAGCTGAAAACAATGACTGACTGTTTTTGCTGTCGATCACTTCCTGTGTGTGTGTGTGTGTGTGTGTGTGTGTTGAATTTGAGCATCTCTCTCTCTACACACACACACACACACACACTCCCCTCCCCCGCAGTCGTCCTGCTCTTCCGCTGCCCCTCCCGTCAGTGTTCCGCCGCAGCGGTGTGTGTGTGTGTGATGGATCAGTGTGCCGGTGACTGAGGGATGCTGCATCACTTCTCTCTCTCTCTCTCTCTCTCTCTCTCTCTCTCTGGTAGACGGATGTGCAGCATCTTCCTCGTCTGCAGCGTCTGTTTCTCAGCGCTAACAGCATCAGCAGGTAAGATTAGCATTAGCGTGTTTAACGTTAACCCCGTCCTGTCTGAGGACGCGTCGTGCCCTCGTACTGCAGCACACACACACACACACACATGGGCGGAAGCGTTTAGACTGTCATCCAGTGTGTCTGATTCTGTAACCATGGGAACATGGTTCAGTAATTAGTTTTTTATGTGTTGTCATGGGTGGAGTTGTGCGGTTGCTAAGGGTGTGTACGCGTGCATGATGTTGATGCGGTGTGACGGAACGAGCGTTACGGCGTGTTTTTCCTCATTACTGCTGTGTCATACTGCTACATCCCGAGCCCTGTGTGTGTGTGTGTGTGTGTGTGTGTGTGAGGGTCTGTGGGCGGGGCTAACTCGAGGTCAGGGGTCACTCAATGTCTAAATAAAATTGAGACAAATTTATTTATTCTTTCAGCCATGAAAATATAAAAGTAGTTGTGACTTTTTAATCACACAATTCTGACTTATTTATTTCTTGCAATTCTGAGTTTACATATTGCAATTAAGACTTGTTCTCGCAATTCAGAGTTTATATCTCGCAATTCTGAGTTTATATCACACAATTTTGAGTTTCTTACAATTCTGACTTTCTCGCAAATTCTGAGTTTATATCTCGCAATTCTGACTTTATATCTCGCAATTCTGAGTTTATATCTCACAATTCTGACTATATATCTCACAATTCTGAGTTTAAATCTCGCAATTCTGACTTTCTCTCAAATTCTGAGTTTATATCTCGCAATTCTGACTATATATCTCGCAATTCTGAGTTAAAATCTCACAATTCTGACTTTATTTCTCGCAATTCTGAGTTTAAATCTCGCAATTCTGGCTTTATATCTCGCAATTCTGAGTTTTTCTCGCAATTCTGACTTGCTCGCAATTCTGACTTTATATCTCGCAATTCTGACTTTATTTCTCGCAATTCTGACTTTCTCGCAATTCTGACTATATATCTCGCATTTCTGAGTTTATATCACACAATTCTGAGTTTATATCACGCAATTCTGACTTTATATCTCGCAATTCTGACTTTATATCTCGCAATTCTGACTTTCTCGAAATTCTGACTTTATATCTAGCAATTCTGACTTTCTCGCAATTCTTACTTTCTCACAATTCTGACTTAATATCTCACAATTCTGAGTTTATATCTCGCAATTCTGACTATATATCTCGCAATTCTGACTGTATATCTCGCAATTCTGAGTTTTTCTCGCAATTCTGACTTGCTCGCAATTCTGACTTTATTTCTCGCAATGCTGACTTTCTCGCAATTCTGACTATATATCTCGCATTTCTGAGTTTATATCACGCAATTCTGAATTTATATCATGCAATTCTGAGTTTATATCACGCAATTCTGACTTTATATCTCGCAATTCTGACTTTATATCTCACAATTCTGACTTTCTCGCAATTCTGACTTTCTCACAATTCTGACTTTATATCTCACAATTCTGACTTTCTCTCAAATTCTGAGTTTATATCTCGCAATTCTGAGTTTATATCTCGCAATTCTGACTATTAGGGGTGGAACGGTACACAGAAGTCACGGTTCGGTTCATACCTCGGTTCAGACATCACGGTTCGGTACGATTTCGGTACAATGGAGTGAAAAGCAAAACAAAAATGCAGAAGGCATTTTTATAAATGGGTCATTCTTAGCATTCGGTGCCATTAGAGTCCTCATGACATAATGTGGTATTATTTGAGTAAAAATGGGCTAATACTTGTTTCTAAATGATCATCTTAAATTGTTAATCCCCCTTTACCATAGAACACAATAAATGTACCCAGGATTAATTAATAATAAAAAAAAATTACTCTGATGTTAGTGCAAGTAGGCTAAACTGCCATGTCCCCAAGTAAGCTTGCACAACTTCAGCCACAAATATAAGTAATAAAAATCAAATAAATTCCAAATTTTTCAATATTGTTGTATATTCTTATTTATAATATTCCTCACAAAAATATATTTTTTGTTAGTTATACATTTTTAATACTTAAAGTCTTTAAAAAATGTTGTGTCCCTGAATTGAATGTCCCCCCTGTTACTCTGATGGAAAATCCCTCTGAACACGCCCATTGACTGTTCCTCTAATCACATGTCTCTCAAGAATTTTAATACTTTTTGGTGGCAAATTATCTTCAAGAAGCAGAGTAAGTATCATTCCTTAATTCACTCTTTTTTCAATGTTTTAGAATGATTCACTGAAGTGGTAAAGCATAACATGTCCACCCTGTTATGCCTATTTATAGTGGAAACTGATAATTGTTTGTAATTTTGAAAATATGGTTAATAAACAGGTTAAAAATCTTCCTCAATAATCACTGCGCACTAGCTTGTTTTTCATCACATTTGTAGCAATGGCTAACTTTAGCATAAAATGTCCCTCCTGTTACTGTCCACCCTGTTACTCTTTTGCACACTAACAGGGTGGACATATTGTAACAGAGTGGGCGTAAATGCTAAATAAATGAGTGTTTACAGCTTGAATTGGTACTTATAATTAATTTATTATACATTTATTTGTTATATACCTTCAGGGGGTGCCAGGGTAAATGAGTTGATAACATTTATTGTTGTTTAGTGGTGTGATGTCCACCCTGTTACCCCTCTGTCCACCCTGTTACCTCTGTTTTTTTATTATTATTTTAAGTTAATAAAATAAGTTCAACAAATGTTATGCATATCTTTGTGGTTAATTTTAGGGAATGAAATGGCAAAATGAAATAATTAAAAAATGCGGCAAAATTCCATTGAAATGTCTTTTTATTCTAAAAGAAATGTGTTGAAATTACCACTGTGGCTTAAAATACAACTTTTTTTAAGATAATGCTCGTTAATGAACACTTTGTTAAAATACATTTGCGGGGTAAAGTGAGGGACATTTGAGCTCTTAGAAAATGTAAATATTACAATAACTGTGAATTCAAAACATTTATTAATTTAGATGAGAATGTCCTGTAACAGGGTGGACATTTGGCCTTTGCATGTGTGAAGAATTTGGTCAAAATTATTAAAGAGTGATATCCTGAGCTGGACCAATATATTTTTCTTGTAGTGTAACAAACCATTCTTCAGATAAAATGAATAAATCATGGAAATTTTTACTTTTTTTTGGGAAATTTACCAAGCTGAAATGGCACCGAATAGTAGGAATGACCCAAATGTCTTAAACCTTGTATTTTTTAAAATAAGTTTTATTAATAAAGGCATAGAACCAGTTTATTTGTAGTGCACTGACAGTAGTTTTATATAATTAGTTTATTAATTAAATTATTAAAAAGACGAAAAGACCTTGAGATATGTTTGGTAATTGTACCTGAATGAATTTAAAATTAATTTGCTATTTCAGATCAAGATATTTGTTTTCCTTCATTTTAATTAACTAACTTTATTCTCATCTGAATTATAAATAATTGATTTCCGTATAAAATAATACTACCATAAAAACTTGTTAACAGTTGTAGGTTACAGTTTGACAAGAGTTTAGAGTGTGACAAAAGCACAATGTTGTGTTTTATTGCCAGTGTACACAAATATAAGTAAACAATTTGCAGTTTTAATGATGTATGAAAAAAATGACGGAGTATGTTTTTACGTTTCCACTGTTCGATCGCCCGTGCCTCTCTCTCTCACACACACACACACACACACACACACACTGTTCATCACGCGATTCGCGCCCGCGCCTCTCTCTCTCTCTCACGCGCGCGCACACACACACACACACTGTTCATCGCGCGATTCGCGCCCGCGCCTCTCTCTCTCGCGCGCGCGCACACACACACACACACACACACACACACACACACTGTTCATCGCGCGATTCGCGCCCGCGCCTCTCTCTCTCTCGCACGCGCGCGCACACACACACACACACACTGTTCGATCGCGCCTCTCTCTCTCTCGCACACACACACACACTGTTCATCGCGCCTCTCTCTCTCTCTCTCGCGCGCGCACACAGACACACACACTCCTGCATTGCAATCTTGATCGCAGCCTGTTCATTGCTGCGTTAACAGTCACACCAAAAGCGAATAGAGCGAAATTTATCGCTATTTAAGAGTTTTTTTTTTATTTGTACCGTGTATTCTGCGTGCAAATTCGTGCACCGAACCGTGACGCCCGTACCGTTTCGGTTCAATACGAATACATGTACCGTTCCACCCCTACTGACTATATATCTCGCAATTCTGACTATATATCTCGCAATTCTGAGTTTAAATCTCGCAATTCTGACTTTATATCTCGCAATTCTGACTTTATATCTCGCAATTCTGACTTTATTTCTCGCAATGCTGACTTTCTCGCAATTCTGACTATATATCTCGCATTTCTGAGTTTATATCACGCAATTCTGAATTTATATCCCACAATTCTGACTTTATATCACGCAATTCTGACTTTATATCTCGCAATTCTGACTTTATATCTCGCAATTCTGACTTTATATCTCGCAATTCTGACTTTATATCTCGCAATTCTGACTTTATATCTCGCAATTCTGACTTTATATCTCGCAATTCTGACTTTATATCTCGCAATTCTGACTTTATATCTCGCAATTCTGAGTTTATTTCTCGCAATTCTGACTTTCTCGCAATTCTGACTTTCTCACAATTCTGAGTTTATATCTCGCAATTCTGAGTTTATATCTCGCAATTCTGAGTTTATATCTCGCAATTCTGACTTTCTCACAATTCTGAGTTTATTTCTCGCAGTTCTGACTTTCTCGCAATTCTGAGTTTATATCTCGCAATTCTGAGTTTATATCTCGCAATTCTGACTTTGTATCTCGCAATTCTGACTTTATTTCTCGCAATTCTGACTTTATTTCTCGCAATGCTGACTTTCTCGCATTTCTGAGTTTATATCACGCAATTCTGAATTTATATCCCGCAATTCTGAGTTTATATCACGCAATTCTGAATTTATATCCCGCAATTCTGAGTTTATATCACGCAATTCTGAATTTATATCACGCAATTCTGACTTTATATCACGCAATTCTGACTTTATATCTCGCAATTCTGACTTTCTCACAATTCTGACTTTATATCTCGCAATTCTGACTTTATATCTCGCAATTCTGACTTTATCACGCAATTCTGAGTTTATTTCTCGCAATTCTGACTTTCTCGAAATTCTGACTTTATATCTCGCAATTCTGACTTTCTCGCAATTCTTACTTTCTCACAATTCTGACTTAATATCTCACAATTCTGAGTTTATATCTCGCAATTCTGACTATATATCTCGCAATTCTGACTATATATCTCGCAATTCTGACTGTATATCTCGCAATTCTGAGTTTTTCTCGCAATTCTGACTTTATTTCTCGCAATGCTGACTTTCTCGCAATTCTGACTATATATCTCGCATTTCTGAGTTTATATCACGCAATTCTGAATTTATATCATGCAATTCTGAGTTTATATCACGCAATTCTGACTTTATATCTCGCAATTCTGACTTTATATCTCACAATTCTGACTTTCTCGCAATTCTGACTTTCTCACAATTCTGACTTTATATCTCACAATTCTGACTTTCTCTCAAATTCTGAGTTTATATCTCGCAATTCTGAGTTTATATCTCGCAATTCTGACTATATATCTCGCAATTCTGACTATATATCTCGAAATTCTGAGTTTAAATCTTGCAATTCTGACTTTATATCTCGCAATTCTGACTTTATATCTCGCAATTCTGACTTTATTTCTCGCAATTCTGACTTTATTTCTCGCAATGCTGACTTTCTCGCAATTCTGACTATATATCTCGCATTTCTGAGTTTATATCACGCAATTCTGAATTTATATCCCACAATTCTGACTTTATATCACGCAATTCTGACTTTATATCTCGCAATTCTGACTTTATATCTCGCAATTCTGACTTCATATCTCGCAATTCTGACTTTATATCTCGCAATTCTGACTTTATATCACGCAATTCTGAGTTTATTTCTCGCAATTCTGACTTTCTCGCAATTCTGACTTTCTCACAATTCTGAGTTTATATCTCGCAATTCTGAGTTTATATCTCGCAATTCTGACTTTCTCACAATTCTGAGTTTATTTCTCGCAGTTCTGACTTTCTCGCAATACTGAGTTTATATCTCGCAATTCTGATTTATATCTCGCAATTCTGACTTTGTATCTCGCAATTCTGACTTTATTTCTCACAATTCTGACTTTATTTCTCGCAATGCTGACTTTCTCGCATTTCTGAGTTTATATTACGCAATTCTGAATTTATATCCCGCAATTCTGAGTTTATATCACGCAATTCTGAATTTATATCCCGCAATTCTGAGTTTATATCACGCAATTCTGAATTTATATCACGCAATTCTGACTTTATATCTCGCAATTCTGACTTTCTCACAATTCTGACTTTATATCTCGCAATTCTGACTTTATATCTCGCAATTCTGACTTTATCACGCAATTCTGAGTTTATTTCTCGCAATTCTGACTTTCTCGAAATTCTGACTTTATATCTCGCAATTCTGACTTTATCGCAATTCTTACTTTCTCACAATTCTGACTTAATATCTCACAATTCTGAGTTTATATCTCGCAATTCTGACTATATATCTCGCAATTCTGACTATATATCTCGCAATTCTGACTGTATATCTCGCAATTCTGAGTTTTTCTCGCAATTCTGACTTGCTCGCAATTCTGACTTTATTTCTCGCAATGCTGACTTTCTCGCAATTCTGACTATATATCTCGCATTTCTGAGTTTATATCACGCAATTCTGAATTTATATCATGCAATTCTGAGTTTATATCACGCAATTCTGACTTTATATCTCGCAATTCTGACTTTATATCTCACAATTCTGACTTTCTCGCAATTCTGACTTTCTCACAATTCTGACTTTATATCTCACAATTCTGACTTTCTCTCAAATTCTGAGTTTATATCTCGCAATTCTGAGTTTATATCTCGCAATTCTGACTATATATCTCGCAATTCTGACTATATATCTCGCAATTCTGAGTTTAAATCTCGCAATTCTGACTTTATATCTCGCAATTCTGACTTTATATCTCGCAATTCTGACTTTATTTCTCGCAATTCTGACTTTATTTCTCGCAATGCTGACTTTCTCGCAATTCTGACTATATATCTCGCATTTCTGAGTTTATATCACGCAATTCTGAATTTATATCCCACAATTCTGACTTTATATCACGCAATTCTGACTTTATATCTCGCAATTCTGACTTTATATCTCGCAATTCTGACTTTATATCTCGCAATTCTGACTTTATATCTCGCAATTCTGACTTTATATCTCGCAATTCTGACTTTATATCTCGCAATTCTGACTTTATATCTCGCAATTCTGACTTTATATCACGCAATACTGAGTTTATTTCTCGCAATTCTGACTTTCTCGCAATTCTGACTTTCTCACAATTCTGAGTTTATATCTCGCAATTCTGAGTTTATATCTCGCAATTCTGAGTTTATATCTCGCAATTCTGAGTTTATATCTCGCAATTCTGACTTTCTCACAATTCTGAGTTTATTTCTCGCAGTTCTGACTTTCTCGCAATTCTGAGTTTATATCTCGCAATTCTGAGTTTATATCTCGCAATTCTGACTTTGTATCTCGCAATTCTGACTTTATTTCTCGCAATTCTGACTTTATTTCTCGCAATGCTGACTTTCTCGCATTTCTGAGTTTATATCACGCAATTCTGAATTTATATCCCGCAATTCTGAGTTTATATCACGCAATTCTGAATTTATATCCCGCAATTCTGAGTTTATATCACGCAATTCTGAATTTATATCACGCAATTCTGACTTTATATCTCGCAATTCTGACTTTATATCTCGCAATTCTGACTTTATCACGCAATTCTGAGTTTATTTCTCGCAATTCTGACTTTCTCGCAATTCTGACTTTCTCACAATTCTGAGTTTATATCTCGCAATTCTGAGTTTATATCTCGCAATTCTGAGTTTATATCTCGAAATTCTGAGTTTATATCTCGCAATTCTGACTTTATATCTCGCAATTCTGAGTTTATATCTCGCAATTCTGAGTTTATATCTCGCAATTCTGACTTTCTCACAATTCTGAGTTTATATCACGCAGTTCTTCCTTTTTTCCCTCCAATTTCTCAGTTTATATCTCTTTGAAGGGGCACGTGTTTATGGATGAAAGATCTGCCTGGATCACGCAATGTTTTTGTGATTAAAATTTTCCGATGCTCTTTTTTAATTCCATGGTTAAAATGGGCTTCCACACGAAGGGAAGTAACACGACAGCTAACGATTCCCTCTTCCTGTTTGATATCAGAACTGTTGTGGAACGCCGTGTGATGCTGACGTCAGTGTGTGTGTGTGTGTGTGTGTACTTTATTTCTCGCAATGCTGACTTTCTCGCATTTCTGAGTTTATATCACGCAATTCTGAATTTATATCCCGCAATTCTGAGTTTATATCACGCAATTCTGAATTTATATCCCGCAATTCTGAGTTTATATCACGCAATTCTGAATTTATATCACGCAATTCTGACTTTATATCTCGCAATTCTGACTTTATATCTCGCAATTCTGACTTTATCACGCAATTCTGAGTTTATTTCTCGCAATTCTGACTTTCTCGCAATTCTGACTTTCTCACAATTCTGAGTTTATATCTCGCAATTCTGAGTTTATATCTCGCAATTCTGAGTTTATATCTCGCAATTCTGAGTTTATATCTCGCAATTCTGAGTTTATATCTCGCAATTCTGACTTTCTCACAATTCTGAGTTTATATCACGCAGTTCTTCCTTTTTTCCCTCCAATTTCTCAGTTTATATCTCTTTGAAGGGGCACGTGTTTATGGATGAAAGATCTGCCTGGATCACGCAATGTTTTTGTGATTAAAATTTTCCGATGCTCTTTTTTAATTCCATGGTTAAAATGGGCTTCCACACGAAGGGAAGTAACACGACAGCTAACGATTCCCTCTTCCTGTTTGATATCAGAACTGTTGTGGAACGCCGTGTGATGCTGACGTCAGTGTGTGTGTGTGTGTGTGTGTGTGTAGTTTGGATGCGCTGGCCTGTCTGTGGGACTGCCGCTCTCTGAGTGAGCTGAGCGTCGATGGGAATCCCGTGGCGCTGGAGTCATGCTACAGACACACACTCCTCCGCTGCTGCTCGCCACACCTTCAGCTGCTCGACATGAGGCGCGTCACGGTGAGTCTGCGCCGATCCCACCCGATCACCCTGTTCTTGATACAAACTAAAGGCCTAAACTAATTAAAAACAGGGACGAGCTGTCTGATTGGTTCTGCTTCAATAGGAAATACATCAACAAATAATTCCATGGGTTCTGACAGTGAGTGTAATGGAGCATGTTTCTGCTGTGATGCCGTTTTCATCTTTTACATTTAAAATAGCAGGATTTTATGATAGCGGGGGCTTAAATTAGTATATTTTCTAGCATTTGTGATTATGATTATTTGTAGCTGTATATTTGCTATCTGTATAATTCAGCTGTATAATTAAATATATATATATATATATATTATAATATAATTATTTATTTAAAAAAAATTTGATTAGAAAATAAGTTAATAAATGTGATTTAAAAAAAATTAGGTAGTTGTTCATATATAAAATAAATAAATAAGAAAAACCTTTTCAATTAATAAAAAATAATAAAAATTTGATTAAAATTAAATAAACAAAAAAATAAATAATATATTGAACAGTACATTCCTATTGTGAGTAGATAAAAAATAAAATAATGTAACTTAATAATAATGTAATTTAATAGATTTATCATATTTATTTTTCAGTGTATTAATTGTGTGTTTATAAACGATAGATGCCTTTGAAGTGTTTGATGTGTAGATCATGTTTGAAACCCCTGATCTCCGTCTCTCTCCAAACGCTGCGGCGCCGCCTCCAAAACTGCAGCAATGCATGCTGGGAAGAAAACAGCTGGGCCGGCACATCATCTGAAAATAATCCTCTGTGATCCACACACACACACACACACACACACACACACACAAATAATGTGTGTCTGTGAGTGAGTTTTGGTGTGTTTGTGTGAGTGTGTTTGTATCTGTGAGCGTACATGTGAGCTTGCGTGTGTGTGTAAGTGAGTGTGTCAGAGAGTGTGTGTCTGAGAGAGTGTGTGTGTGTGTAAGTGTGTGAGTGCATGCGATGTGCATGTATGTGTGTGTGAGTGTGTAAGTGAGTGTGTGAGTGCATGCGACGTGTATGTGTGCGTGTGTGTGTGCGCGTGTGTAAGTGTGTGTGTGTGTGTGTGTGAGTGTGTGTGTGTGTGTGAGTGTATGTGTGTTAATTGTGTCCTGACGGTTTGCTGGTGTTCTGCAGGAGGAGGAGAGGCGCTCGGCGAGTGTTTCGGCACGAAAGGAGGATGAGAAGAAGAAAGAGAGTCACAAACTGGCTGCGCACAAGGTACACACACACACTTCAGCCCGACACACACAACAAACGAATGAATTCGGAGGGAAAACACACTTACTGACCCCACTGGCAGAAACTTGTTCTTGTTTTAAGCACAAACTCACTTAATTTCTCATTCTCATCATTCTGCTTCTCCGATAAATGTATCATATATCTAAGAGGTCGTTCACACCGAATGTGTTTTTCCATTCGAATGGAAAACAAATTCACACATGGAGTTTGTCCTGACACACAGTTATCGCATGCGTCTGGATGACAGCGGTTCCCAGCATCTGTGACACACACTCAATCCCAGGACTGAATCTCTGATCTCTAGGAGCAGCTGGAGGTCAAGCAACATGCACACGTTAGAGTGTTATTGATCTCAGTCTCACGAGGCCGTAATTATGAATATATGACAGTTCAGAGACACTCGAGATGAATGATTCTCATCAAATCTGTTCTCTGATGTCAGTTAATGATCACGACAATGCAGGTCAACAAATAAAATATTTAAAATTATTTATTTATTTTAATTTGACATGTTTATGAATTAATTTTTAGTAAGTGTTTAATTTTGATTTTTTATATTAATTTGACATTTTTATTATATTATTATTTATGATTTAGTTTGTTTACATTTTTATAATTTAATTTGTTGTAGCAAGTGTAAATTAATTTTTAGATTTTAATTATATTCTTTTTATTTTTAATTTATCCATTATTTATTTTCATTTTTCCTTTTTTAATGTTTTACTTACATTTATGTTTACACTCTACATTTACATTTTTATAATTTAATTTTAGTTAGTATACTTGATCTTTTTTAGATTCTTAATCTTTCTTAATTTTTAGATTCTTAATATTCTTAATTTAGTAATTTAATATTTTTTTTAATAGTAATTAGATGTGACTCAATAAAAGTGAATCTCAGCAAAACTGACCACTGACACTATTTTATTTAGTTCCATTAAGACCCTGAATTCTCATTTACTGTAATGCATATGAGAAAATAATGACATTGAAACCGTACAGAAAGTATTCGTCATAGAACCGCAGCTGTAGTTTCACACTGGAACCACTGAGGGATCTAATGGTTTCTCTGGTCTCAGGAAAGGCGTCGACTGGCGATCCAGAACGCAGCGCATCAGTGGGAGGGGCTTAAACAGAACGAGGCTCAGCAGTGGGAGGGGCTTAAAGCCTCGAGCCTCGAGATTCCTGCGCAGAACGGCTCAAAGGAAGATGTCAGTCCAGACAATAGCCCCGCCCACAGCCCTGCGCAGACAAATGGAAGCGCTCAGGAGACCTCGCCGGACGAGCCCAGGTGTGTGTGTGTGTGTGTGTGTGTGTGTGTGTGAGTCAGTGTCTGAGTCGGTGTGTCTGTGTGTGTCTGAGTCTGAGTGTGTCTGAGTCTTTGTGTCTGAGTCTGTGTGTGTCTGAGTCTGTGTGTGTCTGAGTCTGTGTGTGTCTGAGTCTGTGTGTGTCTGAGTCTGTGTGTGTCTGAGTCTGTGTGTGTCTGAGTCTGTGTGTGTCTGAGTCTGTGTGTGTCTGAGTCTGTGTGTCTGAGTCTGTGTGTCTGAGTCTGTGTGTGTCTGAGTCTGTGTGTGTCTGAGTGGGTGTGTCTGAGTCTGTGTGTGTCTGAGTGGGTGTGTCTGAGTCTGTGTGTCTGAGTCTGTGTGTGTCTGAGTCTGTGTGTGTCTGAGTCTGTGTGTGTCTGAGTCTGTGTGTCTGAGTCTGTGTGTGTCTGAGTCTGTGTGTGTCTGAGTCTGTGTGTGTCTGAGTCTGTGTGTGTCTGAGTCTGTGTGTGTCTGAGTCTGAGTGTGTCTGAGTCTGAGTGTGTCTGAGTGTGTCTGAGTCTGTGTGTGTCTGAGTCTGAGTGTGTCTGAGTCTGAGTGTGTCTGAGTCTGTGTGTGTGTCTGAGTCTGTGTGTCTGAGTCTGTGTGTCTGAGTCTGAGTGTGTCTGAGTCTGAGTGTGTCTGAGTCTGTGTGTCTGAGTCTGTGTGTCTGAGTCTGTGTGTGTCTGAGTCTGTGTGTGTCTGAGTCTGTGTGTCTGAGTCTGTGTGTCTGAGTCTGTGTGTGTGTCTGAGTCTGTGTGTGTGTCTGAGTCTGTGTGTGTCTGAGTGGGTGTGTCTGAGTCTGTGTGTGTCTGAGTCTGTGTGTGTCTGAGTCTGTGTGTCTGAGTCTGTGTGTCTGAGTCTGTGTGTCTGAGTCTGTGTGTCTGAGTCTGTGTGTCTGAGTCTGTGTGTGTCTGAGTCTGTGTGTGTCTGAGTCTGTGTGTGTTCTGAGTCTGTGTGTGTCTGAGTGGGTGTGTCTGAGTCTGGGTGTGTCTGAGTCTGTGTGTGTCTGAGTCTGTGTGTGTCTGAGTCTGTGTGTGTCTGAGTGGGTGTGTCTGAGTCTGTGTGTGTCTGAGTCTGTGTGTGTCTGAGTCTGTGTGTCTGAGTCTGTGTGTCTGAGTCTGTGTGTCTGAGTCTGTGTGTGTCTGAGTCTGTGTGTCTGAGTCTGTGTGTCTGAGTCTGTGTGTGTCTGAGTCTGTGTGTGTGTCTGAGTCTGTGTGTGTCTGAGTCTGTGTGTGTCTGAGTCTGTGTGTGTCTGAGTCTGTGTGTCTGAGTCTGTGTGTGTCTGAGTCTGTGTGTGTCTGAGTCTGTGTGTGTCTGAGTCTGTGTGTGTCTGAGTGGGTGTGTCTGAGTCTGTGTGTGTCTGAGTGGGTGTTTGTCTGAGTCTGTGTGTGTCTGAGTCTGTGTGTGTCTGAGTCTGTGTGTCTGAGTCTGTGTGTGTCTGAGTCTGTGTGTGTCTGAGTCTGTGTGTGTCTGAGTCTGTGTGTCTGAGTCTGTGTGTCTGAGTCTGTGTGTCTGAGTCTGTGTGTGTCTGAGTCTGTGTGGGTGTGAGTCTGTGTGGGTCTGAGTCTGTGTGTGTCTGAGTCTGTGTGTGTCTGAGTCTGTGTGTGTCTGAGTCTGTGTGTGTCTGAGTCTGTGTGTGTCTGAGTCTGTGTGTGTCTGAGTCTGTGTGTGTCTGAGTCTGTGTGTCTGAGTCTGTGTGTCTGAGTCTGTGTGTCTGAGTCTGTGTGTGTCTGAGTCTGTGTGTCTGAGTCTGTGTGTGTGTCTGAGTCTGTCTGTGTGTCTGAGTCTGTGTGTCTGAGTCTGTGTGTCTGAGTCTGTGTGTCTGAGTCTGTGTGTCTGAGTCTGTGTGTCTGAGTCTGTGTGTGTCTGAGTCTGTGTGTGTCTGAGTCTGTGTGTCTGAGTCTGTGTGTGTCTGAGTCTGTGTGTCTGAGTCTGTGTGTGCCTGAGTCTGTGTGTGTCTGAGTCTGTGTGTCTGAGTCTGTGTGTGTCTGAGTCTGTGTGTCTGAGTCTGTGTGTGTCTGAGTCTGTGTGTGTCTGAGTCTGTGTGTCTGAGTCTGTGTGTGTCTGAGTCTGTGTGTGTCTGAGTCTGTGTGTCTGAGTCTGTGTGTGTCTGAGTCTGTGTGTGTCTGAGTCTGTGTGTGTCTGAGTCTGTGTGTGTCTGAGTCTGAGTGTGTCTGAGTCTGAGTGTGTCTGAGTGTGTCTGAGTCTGTGTGTGTCTGAGTCTGAGTGTGTCTGAGTCTGAGTGTGTCTGAGTCTGTGTGTGTGTCTGAGTCTGTGTGTCTGAGTCTGTGTGTGTGTCTGAGTCTGTGTGTGTGTCTGAGTCTGTGTGTGTGTCTGAGTCTGTGTGTGTCTGAGTCTGTGTGTGTCTGAGTCTGTGTGTCTGAGTCTGTGTGTCTGAGTCTGTGTGTCTGAGTCTGTGTGTGTCTAAGTCTGTGTGTCTGAGTCTGTGTGTGTGTCTGAGTCTGTCTGTGTGTCTGAGTCTGTGTGTCTGAGTCTGTGTGTCTGAGTCTGTGTGTCTGAGTCTGTGTGTGTCTGAGTCTGTGTGTGTCTGAGTCTGTGTGTGTCTGAATCTGTGTGTGTCTGAGTCTGTGTGTCTGAGTCTGTGTGTGCCTGAGTCTGTGTGTGTCTGAGTCTGTGTGTCTGAGTCTGTGTGTCTGAGTCTGTGTGTGTCTGAGTCTGTGTGTCTGAGTCTGTGTGTGTCTGAGTCTGTGTGTGTCTGAGTCTGTGTGTCTGAGTCTGTGTGTGTCTGAGTCTGTGTGTCTGAGTCTGTGTGTCTGAGTCTGTGTGTGTCTGAGTCTGTGTGTGTCTGAGTCTGTGTGTCTGAGTCTGTGTGTGTCTGAGTCTGTGTGTGTCTGAGTCTGTGTGTCTGAGTCTGTGTGTCTGAGTCTGTGTGTGTCTGAGTCTGTGTGTGTCTGAGTCTGTGTGTCTGAGTCTGTGTGTCTGAGTCTGTCTGTGTGTCTGAGTCTGTCTGTGTGTCTGAGTCTGTGTGTCTGAGTCTGTGTGTCTGAGTCTGTGTGTCTGAGTCTGTGTGTCTGAGTCTGTGTGTCTGAGTCTGTGTGTCTGAGTCTGTGTGTGTGTCTGAGTCTGTGTGTGTGTCTGAGTCTGTGTGTCTGAGTCTGTGTGTGTGTCTGAGTCTGTGTGTGTGTCTGAGTCTGTGTGTGTCTGAGTCTGTGTGTCTGAGTCTGTGTGTCTGAGTCTGTGTGTCTGAGTCTGTGTGTCTGAGTCTGTGTGTCTGAGTCTGTGTGTGTCTGAGTGGGTGTGTCTGAGTCTGTGTATGTCTGAGTCTGTGTGTGTCTGAGTCTGTGTGTCTGAGTCTGTGTGTCTGAGTCTGTGTGTCTGAGTCTGTGTGTCTGAGTCTGTGTATGTCTGAGTGGGTGTGTGTCTGAGTCTGTGTGTGTCTGAGTCTGTGTGTGTCTGAGTCTGTGTGTCTGAGTCTGTGTGGGTGTGTCTGAGTCTGTGTGTGTCTGAGTCTGTGTGTGTCTGAGTCTGTGTGTCTGAGTCTGTGTGTCTGAGTCTGTGTGTCTGAGTCTGTGTATGTCTGAGTGGGTGTGTGTCTGAGTCTGTGTGTGTCTGAGTCTGTGTGTGTCTGAGTCTGTGTGTCTGAGTCGGTGTGTGTCTGAGTCGGTGTGTGTCTGAGTCTGTGTGTGTCTGAGTCTGGGTGTGTCTGAGTCGGTGTGTGTCTGAGTCGGTGTGTGTCTGAGTCGGTGTGTGTCTGAGTCTGTGTGTGTCTGAGTCTGTGTGTGTCTGAGTCTGTGTGTGTCTGAGTCTGTGTGTGTGTCTGAGTCTGTGTGTGTGTCTGAGTCTGTGTGTGTGTCTGAGTCTGTGTGTGTCTGAGTCTGTGTGTCTGAGTCTGTGTGTCTGAGTCTGTGTGTCTGAGTCTGTGTGTCTGAGTCTGTGTGTCTGAGTCTGTGTGTCTGAGTCTGTGTGTGTCTGAGTGGGTGTGTCTGAGTCTGTGTATGTCTGAGTGGGTGTGTGTCTGAGTCGGTGTGGGTGTGTCTGAGTCTGTGTGTGTCTGAGTCTGTGTGTGTCTGAGTCTGTGTGTCTGAGTCTGTGTGTCTGAGTCTGTGTGTCTGAGTCTGTGTATGTCTGAGTGGGTGTGTGTCTGAGTCTGTGTGTGTCTGAGTCTGTGTGTGTCTGAGTCTGTGTGTCTGAGTCGGTGTGTGTCTGAGTCGGTGTGTGTCTGAGTCTGTGTGTGTCTGAGTCTGTGTGTGTCTGAGTCTGTGTGTCTGAGTCTGTGTGTGTCTGAGTCTGTGTGTGTCTGAGTCTGTGTGTCTGAGTCTGTGTGTGTCTGAGTCTGTGTGTCTGAGTCTGTGTGTGTCTGAGTCTGTGTGTCTGAGTCTGTGTGCCTGAGTCTGTGTGTGTCTGAGTCTGTGTGTCTGAGTCTGTGTGTGTCTGAGTCTGTGTGTCTGAGTCTGTGTGTGTGTCTGAGTCTGTGTGTGTGTCTGAGTCTGTGTGTGTGTCTGAGTCTGTGTGTGTGTCTGAGTCTGTGTGTGTCTGAGTCTGTGTGTCTGAGTCTGTGTGTGTCTGAGTCTGTGTGTCTGAGTCTGTGTGTGTCTGAGTCTGTGTGTGTGTCTGAGTCTGTGTGTGTGTCTGAGTCTGTGTGTGTGTCTGAGTCTGTGTGTGTCTGAGTCTGTGTGTCTGAGTCTGTGTGTGTCTGAGTCTGTGTGTCTGAGTCTGTGTGTCTGAGTCGGTGTGTCTGAGTCGGTGTGTGTCTGAGTCGGTGTGTGTCTGAGTCTGTGTGTGTCTGAGTCTGGGTGTGTCTGAGTCGGTGTGTGTCTGAGTCGGTGTGTGTCTGAGTCGGTGTGTGTCTGAGTCTGTGTGTGTCTGAGTCTGTGTGTGTCTGAGTCTGTGTGTCTGAGTCTGTGTGTCTGAGTCTGTGTGTCTGAGTCTGTGTGTGTCTGAGTGTGTCTGAGTCTGTGTGTGTCTGAGTCTGTGTGTGTCTGAGTCTGTGTGTGTATGAGTCGGTGTGTCTGAGTCTGTGTGTGTCTGAGTCTCTGAGTCTGTGTGTGTCTGAGTCTGTGTGTGTCTGAGTCGGTGTGGGTGTGTCTGAGTCTGTGTGTGTCTGAGTCGGTGTGTGTCTGAGTCGGTGTGTGTCTGAGTCGGTGTGTGTCTGAGTCAGTGTGTGTCTGAGTCGGTGTGTGTCTGAGTCGGTGTGTGTCTGAGTCGGTGTGTGTCTGAGTCAGTTTGTGTCTGGGTCGGTGTGTGTCTGAGTCTGAGTGTCTGAGTCGGTGTGTCTGAGTCTGTGTGTGTCTGAGTCGGTGTGTGTCTGAGTCGGTGTGTGTCTGAGTCGGTGTGTGTCTGAGTCGGTGTGTCTGAGTCTGTGTGTGTCTGAGTCGGTGTGTGTCTGAGTCGGTGTGTGTCTGAGTCGGTGTGTGTCTGAGTCGGTGTGTGTCTGAGTCGGTGTGTGTCTGAGTCTGTGGGCCCTATCTTGCACTCGGCGCAAATGACTTTGTACACTGACGCATGTATCATTCCTATTTTGCACCCGCGCAAAGCGGGTTTTTCCCTCCACAGACGCACGTCGGTTAACTAAGAAATACACTTGCGCTCCCCGGGGCGGTTCAGCGCAAAGAGGAGGCGTGTTCCGGCGCAAACTTTCCTTCATGCTATTTTGCTGTTCTATAAAACAATTGCGCCACTGACCAGAAAAAAACTAGTCTAAAGTCAGTGGCACGTTGCGCGTTGTTCATTATGCTATTTTAAGGGCGCATGCTTGGCCATAATCAATGTAGCGTGTGCACAACGCGCATACACGTTGATTCTCTCATCAAAGCAGCAGTTTTCATTTTTGCAAATCATACATTATTACGATAGATAGATAGATAGATAGATAGATAGATAGATAGATAGATAGATAGAAAGATAGATAGATAGAAAGACAATTTATTATAAAAGCATGTAGCTTACACATTTACCCAAATTATCATACGCCTGTTTAACAGAAGTTAATTTGGGTGGGTTTCTCCATCCCCAATGTCACTTCTCTGACGAGAACGCTGCTCTCCTCGGCTGTGAACCGCGCCTGGCAAATCCGCCGTTATAATAGGAATCCGCTTTAGAACAAGCGCAGCTGCTCTTAAAGGGAATGTGAGATGACGCTCTGATTGGTTTATTTCACGTTACGCCCAAACCACACCTATGAATAATGAAGCTACTTCAGGCCAACCCCTTTTAGATTTGCGCCAGGCGCAAGAGGCATTTATCCCGCCGGGAAAATAGCAACAGCGCCGGGATCCGCCCACAAAGTTACTTGCGCTTTACGCTTTGACACTTGCGTTTCAGATCGTTAAAATAGGGCCCAGAGTGTGTCTGAGTCTGTGTGTGTCTGAGTCTGTGTGTGTCTGAGTCTGTGTGTGTCTGAGTCAGTTTGTGTCTGGGTCGGTGTGTGTCTGAGTCTGTGTGTGTCTGAGTCGGTGTGTGTCTGAGTCTGTGTGTGTCTGAGTCTGTGTGTGTCTGAGTCTGTGTGTGTCTGAGTCGGTGTTTGTCTGAGTCGGTGTGTGTCTGAGTCAGTTTGTGTCTGGGTCGGTGTGTGTCTGAGTCGGTGTGTGTCTGAGTCTGTGTGTGTCTGAGTCAGTTTGTGTCTGGGTCGGTGTGTGTCTGAGTCTGAGTGTCTGAGTCGGTGTGTGTCTGAGTCTGAGTGTCTGGGTCGGTGTGTGTCTGAGTCTGACTGTCTGGGTCGGTGTGTGTCTGAGTCTGAGTGTCTCGATCCTCGCCTCCTCGCGGTGCTAATAGTGAATTGATATGTCCTTTGAGATGGCTGAGCTCGATCGGTTTCTGGGTCATAGGATGGAGGACGGAGGAGCGAGGAAACGAGGAGGGATATTGAGAAGCACCCAGTGTCTGAGTGTGTGTGACATGTCTGAGTGTGTGTGACGTGTCTGACTGCTGTGATTCTCTGTTTCAGGCGCTTGAGTCCGCTCACACTCTCTGCTGGAGGGTTACGATCCGCCAGTCGCCCGAACAGCCCCAGAGACTCCAGGTACATCTCACACACACACACACACACACACACACACACACACACACACACACACACACACACACACACACACACACACACACTCACACTCACACTCACACTCACACACACGGCCACACACACACACACTCACACACACATACACACACACAGCCACACACACAGCCACACACACAGCCACACACACACACACACACACACACACACACACACACACACACACACACACACACACACACACACTCACTCACACACACATACACACACACAGCCACACACACAGCCACACACACTCACACTCACTCACTCACACTCACACACACACTCACTCACACACACACATGTATAGGTTATCAGTGCTGATGGGAGTTTATAGTCATGCAGAAATGAACATACTTGGATTTGTTTACGTCACATTATGATCTTTGTGTGTTTTTAATATGAGCTAATATTATCTCAGTGATGCAGTGAATCTCTCTGATTCCTGCCGGCTCAGTTTAATCCATTACATGAACAGTGTTTGTTCAGGAATAGAGCGAGTGAGCGATGAGCAGAAGAGCAGTGCAGATCTATCAGCGTCTGATGTCTGAGTGTATGTGGGCAGAGAATTAAAGCGTGAATCACATGCGTCTCATCAAGAGCTGCTAGTTAAAAACTCATTATTTCCCTCTGAATGAACCTCTCAAAATTAAATCTCTCAACCAAATCGCTCTAATTATAATTAACCAAACTGGGCTGCTTCAGTAGAGCGTTAATATTTTTTGGTTACACTTTATTTTAAGGTGTCATTGTTACAGTGTAAGTATATATTTGTAATATTAAGCAACTACATGTACTTACTTTAGCTTTAGGGTAGGATTAGGATGTGGTTGAGGGTTAGTTGCATGTAATTATGCATAATTTACTGTTATTACTATGGTAAGTACATGTAACATATGTAACAAGGACACTGTAAAATAAAGTCTTATCTGTTTTTTTTTTTGTTTTTTTTATTGTTAAAATGCAGAACGTTTTGTGTTTAGGTTAGTGTAAGTTCTAGTACTTAAAACTAGCTGTAGACTATATATAAACAACAGAAGTCCATTGAAATGAGTGGTTTTATCGGTATATCGAGAGGTTCGGTTGATCAGATCATCTGGAGCACAGACAGACGCTGCTGTCGATCTCTTCATGCCAAGTGTGAATACAGTCCAAATATTCCTCTCAGAAGAGACTCTGTCCTAACATGTTTGCCATGAGCGTTTAAATCATCCGTACAGTCTTGTGTTACAGGAGCTGGAGACTCATCACAGGGAGATGAAACGAGACGAAACACTCGATGACTTTCTGTGTGGTGTCTCCAGGTTTCAGGATGGTCCCGGCGTTCAGAGTCTATGTCTGACACAGTCAAGTTTCTCATACACACTGAAATGTCGGCAAACGCTAAATTCCCCTTTACTGCGCATGCGTAAACCCTCACAGAAGCTCACAGAGATGATACAGACGGGAAAATAAGTAATAAAGTTATCAATTCTTCTGACAGGATCATTTTATTTAGCAGAATATCTCCTCATTCACTGATCGCCCAGGTCCCTCTCACTCACCATTATATGCTTGGTCTAAAACTGTTCTCATGTTTAGCAAATGTGAGTAAGTTTTCTGTCATCTTTGCAGGACTGTGATATGAAGAGCAAAGTAACATATTTTAGCCCATAACAGGCACTACACCGGTATAAACATCAATATCTATTGGTACAATATGCGTCACATGACTAAACTTACGTCATCGGTTTTAAATCCCTCCGTTTTGAGAGTCCACACTACAACACGGAAACACCATTTTCAAGTGTATCCACTTTGGAGAGCTTCGTTTTCATTAATAAAAACGTATTGGGGCGGGTTACACGACACCGTTTTCAACTAAAAACGTAAAAAAAAACGTTTTGGCCGCTTGTTTACACGAAAACAGCGTTTTGGGTGCCTGAAAACGCAAAGTTTTGAAAACGGGTTTCAAAGTGCAAGTTTGAAGCCGATGACGTCATGCACATGCGTGTTACGTGTTCAGTCTGTAGTGTTTCATCGCCATCTAGTGGCCTGGCAGCAGAATACAGCGATTTTAGTCATGAAAGTGTGAATGGGGATCGTTTTGACAATGGTGTCGTCTACTCGAAAAACTCAAAGGAAAAACGTCTCCGTTTTAAGCATATCGTCGTGTAAACGTACCCTTAGTTTAGAGACTCCCAGTCATCACGGGGAAATGAAACGAGCCGAAGCACTCCTGCATGATGATTCTCTGTGCTGTCTCCAGGTTTCAGGACGGTCCTGGCGTTCAGAGCCTGTCGATGTCAGAGCGCCACCTGGCGGAGCTGGAGGGCGAGACACTGCGCTTGTTCGGCCCCGGGGCCCTGGAGACGCTGGAGCGCTGCTGGGGGGTCCAGACGGCCTCGAGCGTCACCACCGTCTCCTTCAGATACATACACTTCGACTCCATCATCCCCACATTCCTGCGCATCCGCCTCAAATTCCCAAACCTCACGGTGAGGATCAGACCCCTACAGATGCAGTCAAAGCTAACATTATTCAGACAATGATATTTTTTCACTAGTGTGTGCAGGATACTATAGGTCATTTATGTAAGTGAGGAGAGCAAAATAAAGAAAACTGTGACATATTACACCCAAATATTCTTCATACAGCGACTACCAGTAACATTTGGGAGCAAATATTATCCCGACACTTTGAGCTGATCATGTTTTCTTCAGTGTGTTTTCTGTAATTGCTAATGCTCTTTTTACACACAGACTGAACAACATGAAGCATTGCTTGGTCACTGGTTGAGCTAAACTGGTATTATCTAAGTGTGTAGTTAAATTTAACAGCTGACAGATATTCAACATAATTCATGTGTGAGAGTCTAACAGAAGGACGGACAAAACCAGTCAAATATCCACTGATCTGCGAACTCTGAGTTCTGCTCATATTTTATTAGCATTTTCTAAACTATAGCGAATAAACTGTGATAATGTGAGAAATGTTGAAGGAGTCTGAATAAGTGTTGTTTTGACTATTTTAAACGGGTCATGAAATGATTGCCTTCTCCTGTCCGCCACCGTAACTTCTGTTGGGTGCAATTCACAACCTCACCACTAGATGCCGCTAATAATCACACACTGCACCTTTAAATTTGTAAATATCAAGGATATTTTGGTTTTGCTGTCATGACTTCTTTAACATGCACCTGTAATGATGGTGTTTCCGCCGCAGCACCTGATGTTCATGGAGACGAGCATCACTCATCTTCCTCAGCTGGCGGCTCTGGCTCAGATCCGGCGTCTCGATCAGATCACCGTCCATCCGGAGGGCAATCCTGTGGTGCGACTGACGCTCTGGAAATCTTTCCTCATCTACAGACTTCAGCATCTCAACCTGCAGAAGATCAATGGCACGGAGGTTCGAGCAGCTCCGCCAGCGTCACTCACTGCTGTGTATGACGAGTGTGTGTGTGTATGACGAGTGTGTGTGTGATGATATATCTGTGTTTTAGGTGACTATGAATGACATCACGGCCTCCGAGTTGATGTTCGGGGCTCTTGGTCACGTCGCTGCGACCGAAACGCCACGCTGCCGCTTGCTTCTGCTGCTGGAGGAGTCCAGGTGTGTGACAGCTTTATTTCTATAGCGCTTTATACGTGAAAGTGATTCTGTGTCTCTTCGGCTCGATAAACACACTCTTGCTGCAGCATCTGGATCAGTTGCAGAGGTTTGACAGATGCTGGAAGGAGAGAGCATTACAATAGTCCCGTCTGGAGAGAACAAGAGCTTGGAGAAAGAGTTGTGTAGCTCTAATAGGAAGGACCTGATCCTCCTAATGTTGTGTAAGGCAAATCTGCAGGACCGGCAGTTCTACCAATGTGTTTTGTGAAGTTCAACTGATCATCAATCACATCTCCAAGGTTCCTGGCTGTCCTGGATGGAGTTATGGATTAGAGGGCTGCATTGGGATTGAGTCCGCCGGGTCCCGCGGGACCCAACGCAAATCTCGCGGGAGCAGGCGGTTTTAACTTTGCTGCGGGCGGAAATGGGCGGTTAAAAAAAACAACCGCGGGATCGGGAGATAGCCTAGCGACATGATGGAGATGTCAATGATGTGGAAAAGAACCTCAAACGAGGTATTTACGGCACAAAACCTAAGCAAGGCAAGTCTGACCTTTGGACTACTATTCATCTTCCTGATCAGTGCGTTAGAATACATGCAGGCCAGGGAAACGAAACAAACAACCCCATGAATCTCTTTAATAACAGCAATACAAATACGTGTTTTTTCCTGCGGGACGGGAGAAGACACAAAGTCAGTGCATCTCTATTATTGTGCGGGAATAAATTCTCAGAGTTTTGCGGGTGCGGGCGGAAGTGGACATGCATATTGCGGGAGCGGGCGGGAGTGTAACACATACGTCGCGGGAGCGGGCGGTAATGGTCAGAAATTCGGCGGGAGCGGGATGAAGAAAACAGTCCCGCGCAGGACTCTATTATGGATGATGAACCTACAGCTGAATGGAGAAGTTGTGGTGTAGTGTTGGGTTGGCCGAGACACAAGCATTTCTGTCTTCATAAGGTTTAGTTGATGGTGATGGTCCTTCATCAGTAAGAAATGTCAGTCAGGCTGAGATGTGAGCAGCTCCCGTCGGATCATCCGGCTGGAATGAGAGGTAGAGTGTGTGTCATCATTAGTGTAACAGTGATGGGATAAACCATGTTTCTGAATGGCAGACACTAGTGATGACATGTAGATGGAGAAGAGAAGCGGACCCAGCACTGAGCCCTGAGGCACTCCAGTAGCTAGATGATAACAGTGATGGGATAAACCATGTTTCTGAATGGCAGACACTAGTGATGACATGTAGATGGAGAAGAGAAGCGGTCCCAGCACTGAGCCCTGAGGCACTCCAGTAGCTAGATGATAACAGTGATGGGATAAACCATGTTTCTGAGTGACATACACTAGTGATGACATGTAGATGTAGAAGAGAAGCGGTCCCAGCACTGAGCCCTGAGGCACTCCAGTAGCTAGATGATAACAGTGATGGGATAAACCATGTTTCTGAGTGACAGACACTAGTGATGACATGTAGATGTAGAAGAGAAGCGGTCCCAGCACTGAGCCCTGAAGCACTCCAGTAGCTAGATGATAACAGTGATGGGATAAACCATGTTTCTGAGTGACATACACTAGTGATGTCATGTAGATGGAGAAGAGAAGCGGTCCCAGCACTGAGCCCTGAAGCACTCCAGTAGCTAGATGATAACAGTGATGGGATAAACCATGTTTCTGAGTGACAGACACTAGTGATGACATGTAGATGGAGAAGAGAAGCGGTCCCAGCACTGAGCCCTGAGGCACTCCAGTAGCTAGATGATAACAGTGATGGGATAAACCATGTTTCTGAATGACAGACACTAGTGATGACATGTAGATGGAGAAGAGAAGCGGTCCCAGCCCTGAGCCCTGAGGCACTCCAGTAGCTAGATGATAACAGTGATGGGATAAACCATGTTTCTGAGTGACAGACACTAGTGATGTCATGTAGATGGAGAAGAGAAGCGGTCCCAGCACTGAGCCCTGAGGCACTCCAGTATCTAGATGATAACAGTGATGGGATAAACCATGTTTCTGAATGACAGACACTAGTGATGACATGTAGATGGAGAAGAGAAGCGGTCCCAGCCCTGAGCCCTGAGCCCTGAGGCACTCCAGTAGCTAGATGATAACAGTGATGGGATAAACCATGTTTCTGAGTGACAGACACTAGTGATGTCATGTAGATGGAGAAGAGAAGCGGTCCCAGCACTGAGCCTTGAGGCACTCCAGTATCTAGATGATAACAGTGATGGGATAAACCATGTTTCTGAATGACAGACACTAGTGTTGACATGTAGATGGAGAAGAGAAGCGGTCCCAGCCCTGAGCCCTGAGGCACTCCAGTAGCTAGATGATAACAGTGATGGGATAAACCATGTTTCTGAGTGACAGACACTAGTGATGTCATGTAGATGGAGAAGAGAAGCGGTCCCAGCACTGAGCCCTGAGGCACTCCAGTAGCTAGATGATAACAGTGATGGGATAAACCATGTTTCTGAGTGACAGACACTAGTGATGTCATGTAGATGGAGAAGAGAAGCGGTCCCAGCACTGAGCCCTGAGGCACTCCAGTAGCTAGATGATAACAGTGATGGGATAAACCATGTTTCTGAGTGACATACACTAGTGATGTCATGTAGATGGAGAAGAGAAGCGGTCCCAGCACTGAGCCCTGAGGCACTCCAGTAGCTAGATGATAACAGTGATGGGATAAACCATGTTTCTGAATGACAGACACTAGTGATGTCATGTAGATGGAGAAGAGAAGCGGTCCCAGCACTGAGCCCTGAGGCACTCCAGTATCTAGATGATAACAGTGATGGGATAAACCATGTTTCTGAATGACAGACACTAGTGATGTCATGTAGATGGAGAAGAGAAGCGGTCCCAGCACTGAGCCCTGAGGCACTCCAGTAGCTAGATGATAACAGTGATGGGATAAACCATGTTTCTGAATGACAGACACTAGTGATGACATGTAGATGGAGAAGAGAAGCGGTCCCAGCCCTGAGCCCTGAGGCACTCCAGTAGCTAGATGATAACAGTGATGGGATAAACCATGTTTCTGAGTGACAGACACTAGTGATGTCATGTAGATGGAGAAGAGAAGCGGTCTCAGCACTGAGCCCTGAGGCACTCCAGTATCTAGATGATAACAGTGATGGGATAAACCATGTTTCTGAATGACAGACACTAGTGATGACATGTAGATGGAGAAGAGAAGCGGTCTCAGCACTGAGCCCTGAAGCACTCCAGTAGCTAGATGATAACAGTGATGGGATAAACCATGTTTCTGAGTGACAGACACTAGTGATGTCATGTAGATGGAGAAGAGAAGCGGTCTCAGCACTGAGCCCTGAAGCACTCCAGTAGCTAGATGATAACAGTGATGGGATAAACCATGTTTCTGAGTGACAGACACTAGTGATGTCATGTAGATGGAGAAGAGAAGCGGTCCCAGCACTGAGCCCTGAGGCACTCCAGTATCTAGATGATAACAGTGATGGGATAAACCATGTTTCTGAATGACAGACACTAGTGATGACATGTAGATGGAGAAGAGAAGCGGTCCCAGCACTGAGCCCTGAGGCACTCCAGTATCTAGATGATAACAGTGATGGGATAAACCATGTGTCTGAATGACAGACACTAGTGATGACACGTAGATGGAGAAGAGAAGCGGTCCCAGCACTGAGCCCTGAGGCACTCCAGTAGCTAGATGATAACAGTGATGGGAGAAACCATGTTTCTGAATGACAGATCCTAGTGATGACATGTAGATGGAGAAGAGAAGCGGTCCCAGCACTGAGCCCTGAGGCACTCCAGTAGCTAGATGATAACAGTGATGGGATAAACCATGTTTCTGAATGACAGACACTAGTGATGACATGTAGATGGAGAAGAGAAGCGGTCCCAGCACTGAGCCCTGAGGCACTCCAGTAGCTAGATGATAACAGTGATGGGATAAACCATGTTTCTGAATGACAGACACTAGTGATGACATGTAGATGGAGAAGAGAAGCGGTCCCAGCACTGAGCCCTGAGGCACTCCAGTATCTAGATGTTGGGTCTGAGATGCCTCACCCCTCCACGACACCCTGAAGGACCTGCTGAGAGGCAAGACCTGAACCACTGGAGTGCTGTTCCTGAGATGCCCTTCATCATGAGGATTGACAGGAGGATCTGGTGGTGAACTGTGTCAACCGCAGCAGATCCAGCAGGATGAGAACTAAGGATTCGGAAGCTGCTCTTGAGTCTTCAATAACCGAGAGCAGGGGCGTCTCAATTGATTTACGCTTCTGAAACCAGACTGGTTGTTGTGCGTAAGAAATGTAAAGACTTTATTTTGAAGAGTGAACTGCCTGTGAAATACCTGTGTGTGTGGCAGGCCAGTGCATGTACAAGGCAGCTGCCATCCTTCAAGTGCTGTGTGTGTGTGTGTTTAGGATTATTTGAGCACTCCAGGACTTACAGTATTAAACAGCTTCTTCCTGTGCTGTTCAGCAAATTCTTTTCAGCCCTTGAGCACCTGAGACACACCAGCACTGCAGAACCAGTCCAGACTCAGAAAGTCCTAGATCAGATAACCTCGTAAAATGAATTTAAAAAGACAAAACCATCATAAAAATAATAAGAAAAAATTCAAGATCTTTCTTATTTTAATTCACCTCCTTAACAACTGTTGTTGTTTTTCAAGAACCAGGATTATGGTAAACCGGAATATATATGGAGGCCTCATTTTAAATTTTAAACTTATGCGAATGCATCATATTAGTTAGTCGTCATTTTTTTCCCCTCAAGGCTGGTCATAACCTTTTTTTTTCCCTCAGTAAGTTACATAAAAAGGTAAATCTGAAAAATATGACAGATTAATCCTTGTTAAACTGCTAGTTTGTCAAAGTTGTTCTTAAGACAAAGTGTCCCCTGGAAAAGTCATGGAAATTATGAATAATGAATATTTTAATTTTTTTTTTTTATTTTTTTTTTTGTATATATATACAGTAGCCTATATATATATTTTTTTTAATTATATACATATATTTTTTTTATGTTAATTTCAGCATGGACTTCCTCAGTAAAACTAATTGTATTTTTTTATTTTATATATATATATTTTAGATTTTATATAAAATTTTATTTTATAATTTAATTTAATTTTAATTTTAATTTATTTTTATTTTTATTTCAGCATAGACTTCCTAAGTAAAACTATACTCGTACTGATCATTCAGAACATGTCTTGTTCCCACCACTCGTGTGTGTGTGTGTGTGTAGGAAGCGTCAGCTGCAGTTCCTGCTGGACGGGCGCGGTCGGAGAACCGGTCAGAGTCCAGAGGAACTGAAGGACAACGGCAAACATGCGGGAGACGGTTTGAGCCGAGCGCTCTTCAACTACCCCAGCCGAGTGTCCGACGGCCCTGAGGTGAGGCCAACTGTGGAAAACATTGTATTTCATTTTTTTATTTTATATATATATATATATTATTTTATTTGATTATATATGTTTTATTTATTTTATTATATATTATTTTATTTTAATATGTTTTATTTATTTTATATATATATATATATATATATAATTTTATTTTATTATATATGTTTTATTTATTTTATATTATATATATATATATATATATATATATATAGTGTTTTTTATTTTAATTTAATATTTGTATTCTTTTTTATATATATCTGACAGCCCTGAGGTGAGACCAACATTGTAAAACATTGTAAAATCTATGCTGAAAGAAAAATATGATACGAACATGAGACAAAAAAAAAATTCTTTCGGTTTTAATAGTAAAGATTTTAAAGTGATTTTTTCCAATTTATTGATAACAATTAATAAGGGAAATACGAGTTGATGTATGGAGCTTGTTTAAAAGCAAAATGGAAACAACAGTCAAGTTATTATGTGAATATTTTTAATGAGTGACAAAGTGGATGACTTTATTAAAATATTTGTAGAAAGAAACATTATGATGAAGTACACTATGAACTGTGTTATGGGAGAAATATGACTGAATGAATGTATATTAAATTGTGTATTTCTTAAAGGTGCAGTGTGCAATATTTAGGAGGATCTGTTGACAGAAATGCAATATCATATACATAACTATGTGTTCAGTGGTGTACAAAGAACATAATGAACCGTTATGTGTTTATTAGCTTAGAATGAGCGTTTCTCTCTACACACACCGCGGGTCCGCTTACATCCACATGTTTCTACGGTGGCCCTGAACGGACAAACGCGTTTCGCCACTATGTTGTTCTTCGTGTAAAGAAGCTGCTAAAGTCAGCGAGTAAAACACTGACACAATGATGAACAAGTCACAATAATATTCGCAATAACGTTGTTTTACTGAATAATTAAGTAAACCTAATTTCTTAATTTATCTTTGTAAAGAAACCTCATTGTCTACTCTCTGCGGTCTCAGACGATGACATCACTTCCTGTCGGCCACCGTAACTTCTGTTGAGTGCGATTCACAACCTCGCCACTAGATGCCGCTAATAATCACACACTGTACCTTTAAAAGGAAATAACTTTTGTAATTGCAGACATGTTTGAATGCCCTGTTCTGTGTCTCAGGAGGAGGGTGATGTTTCTCAGCGCTCAGCGATGGTTCACCAGTATCTGCGAGGTCTGGTCCACCGGGCCTCGAGTCACAGTGTGAAGGGAGAAACCCTGCAGAAGATCTGGCCGTCGCTGTTCGCCGAGCTCGTGAGAGACTGTGTGCTGGAGATGAGGGACACACAGGCGTTCAGACAGACGTGTCTCCAGAGGATCACACACAGCAAATAACAGGCTTATCGTTTATCCTTCACGCGATAAACGCAGAGGTGTTCTAACTCGCTATCGGTCACCCCCCTTTGAGCGCAGACATGGAAATGCACTATCATTTAAAGGAGGAGTTCACATCAGAATTTACATTGCCTGATAGTTTACTCTCCCGCACGTCATCCAAGATGTTCACGTCTTTCTTTCTTCAGTGGGACAGAAATGAAGGTTTTTGAGGAACACACTCCAGGGTTTCTCCATATAGTGACTTCAATGGGGTCCAACGGGTCGAAGGTCCAGATGTGAGTTTCAGTGCAGCTTCAAAGTCTCGACACGATCCAGCCGAGGAATAAGAGTCTGATCTAGACAAACCAGCCGACATTTATAACAAAATACACATTTATATACTTTTAACCACTAATGCTGGTCTTGCTCGAGCTGTGATGCGACACACATTACGTGATCAGGGTGAAGTCACTATATGGAGAAAAATCCTGGAATGTTTTTCTCAAAAACCTTGATTTCTTTTCAACCGAAGAAAGAAAGACATGAACATCTTGGATGGCGTGGGAGTGAGTAAATTATCATTCAATTTTAATTCTGAAGTGAACTCCTCCTTTAAAAAACTTACAACAAGGTTGGTCTCTTTTTAAAAGAAGACCCTCAGATTACAGAAGTGAAAAAAGTTCTAGAAGTTTAAGTTTACTGTAAAGCAAATGTACTGTAGTATTTATAAAAACATTTTAACTGTAAAATTAGTTGAAAATCAAAGCCATATGTCTAGCCAAGTTGAGTTCCGAATTTGCGAAGTTAATATCAGTTTTTTATGCGTTCTCCTGTCATAAATTCTATTACAAAACAGATGCCAAATACAGAACATTGAGTCTTTTAAACAATGTGTTTTTGTCAAGTTTGGTTATAAAACAGTGCAAACATGACTCCGCCCACTAGGGGGAGGAGCCAGCGGGGAGGTTTTAAAGTAGTAACGCGATTTCAAAACAGTTTTGAGTTTTTAATCTTTCGAATGATAGTCTAGGGTGATTTACTAAAATACGGGATGGGGAGAAAAAAAATGCGAAGACTAATAAAGGGTCTCGGGTCGTACCTGAATGTATACGTCACATGATCATCGCGTCATCGCTGTGTTTGTGAGTGAATCTCCTCTCCTGTGTGACTTCTCCCGACTCTCGTGATGGTGCTCCTGGTTAACAGACTCGACACAGGTACATTCCAGGTGTGTTATGAAACATCTATAAACATGTCACGGTTCTCCTCAAACCTGAGCGCAGGAGAAGTCGTCATTCCTCATTATCATGTGAAGTGTTTGCGTCGAGTGTGTGTATGCCTGTCGCTTCTCCATGTTGAATGTCCTTCACAAGCACTGATTTATGTTTTGTACTGGTTATTAAAAAGAAAAAATGTGAAAACATTTTGATTGACCTGAATATGTTGTTCACCTTTATTTGAGTAGACAACGAACACGTTTTTGCTTGATATGATTTGCCAATGAGCTATTATTATCTGCCAGTGTCAGAAAAAATAATGTTTTCCGTTTGAATTAAGGTTATTTTTCTGACCCCATTGGTGATATTAGTTCTTGTTTTAAGCACAAACTCACTTCATTTTGAGTAATTTTATCAGTAAACAAGACTTCATATTTCGCTTCTCCAGTAAATGTGTCTTGATTTAAGAATGTTTCGATGTTTGTGCTGTAAAACGAGGCAGAAACCCTGAGAAGAACATCATTTTGTGCAGTTTACTTCAGTGAACTCCTCTGAGCTGAAGCGATCTGTGCTAATGTGTTTCTGAATCAACATCTTTTGTCCTGAAACATTCCTGTCCAACATTACAGCTCAAATCAAAGTGAAGTGAGAGATTGATGACAGAGTTGTTTCGGGCCCGAACCAAACCCTGACGTCTGATTGGTTGACAGGAACAGTAAAAACATCTCCTGAAACTCTGCAGTAGAAAACATCTGAGAAACAGTGACACCTAAAGTCCCGCTGTAGTCAATATCCCTTTAAACTCATCTTTGATCACCAAAATGACATATTTAAACATAAAATGCCTCAAAATATCTTGAATGTAACTCGACACCCTTGCTTCATTTAGTATACGCGGTTCTCTGAATATGCAAATTAGCCCCGCCTCCACTCACTCACTCAGCTCAGAGATCCACTGGTTGACGATTTCTATGTGAATATATTTTAATATATTTTATATATTTTGATCAATGTATGTTCAGCATCATTACTCCAGTCTTCAGTGTCACATGATCCTTCAGAAATCACTCTAATATGAGGATCTGATGCTCAAGAAACATTTATGATTATTATCAGTGTTGAAAAACTGTTTTTTTAATTTTTTTATTTCAGGATTTTTTGATGAATAGAAAGTTCATAATAACCGCTACCGTTCAACGATTTGGGGTCAGTAAGAATTTTTTATATGATTTTTTTGGGGAAATAAATTAAATCAATACTTTTATTAAGGATTAATTAAATTGATCAAAAATGACAGTAAAGACATTTATAATGTTAAAACAGATTCTATTTCAGGGAAATGCTGTTCTTATGAACTTTCTATTCATCAAAAAATCCTGAAATAAAAAATTTCAAAAAACTGTTCAACACTGATAATAATCATAACTGTTTCTTGATCATCAGATCCTCATATTAGAGTGATTTCTGAAGGATCATGTGACACTGAAGACTGGAGTAATGATGCTGAAAATTCAGCTTTGATCACAGGAATAAATTACACTTTACTGTATATTCACATAGAAAACAGATGATTTACACTGGAGTAATATTTCACAATATTACAGTTTTTTTAATATAAACAGTGTAATAAATTAGAACATGTGTGAACATTTGCTACCACAGTGTTTTTAACACACACACACACACTCTCTCTCTCTCTCGCTCTCTCTCTCTCACACACACACACCTCTCCCTCCCTCTCTCTCTCACACACAAACACACACACACTCTCTCTCTCTCTCTCTCTCTCTCTCTCTCTCTCTCTCTCTCTCTCTCTCTCTCTCTCTCTCTCTCTCTCTCTCTCTCACACACACACACCTCTCCCTCCCTCTCTCTCTCACACACAAACACACACACTCTCTCTCTCTCTCTCTCTCTCTCTCTCTCTCTCTCTCTCTCTCTCTCTCTCTCTCTCACACACACACACACACACACACAAACACACACACACTCTCTCTTTCTCCACCCACACACACACACACAGAACACACACACACTCTCTCTCTCTCTCTCTCTCTCTCTCTCTCTCTCTCTCTCTCTCTCTCTCTCTCTCTCTCTCTCTCTCTCTCTCTCTCTCTCTCTT